TTTTAACATAAAGTTCAACATTTTTTTCTGTTTTATTTCTACTTTCATATTGTCTTTCAATATTTACTTTTAATAAATATTTACTTTAATAATTAATATTATTCATAGATTTTATTATATTAATAATGATTTTTTTAAAAAAATTAGTTTTTTATATTATTAAATAATATGTTTAATTTTGTATCAAATAATGTTTCTTGTGCCATTTAACATTTATATATATTTGTTTTGACACAACATATCATAAAAATAAAAATTTATCTTCTAATATTCCTAATTCCAATTCCTTTTTATCACAATCTTCAATAATGTTACTTGTTAATTTAAGTTATGTAATTAAATATTGTTATTTTAATAAAAATTTATAATATTCATTATTAATAAAATATAAAATAAAAAATCCATATCATAAATGAAATTTCACTACCATAATGAAATAAAATAGTATAAATAAAATAATATCTTTAATATAATTGTATAAATATTTTCAAATATGAATTTTATCAAGTTTTAAAATATTGTTGTATATATCGAAACTATATTGAAAAGATATAAATATACTGAAAATAAAAAAGTACTTACCTGAACTCGTAAAGGATGCATCATTAAAAGATGTAACATGTCTGTAGGAGGTAACAAATCATTGAGTGTAGCCCCTTGTTGACGCACAGCTTGGCACATAAATACAGCAAAATATCGATGCAATGGAAGATGAAAAGACACTTGTAAACTATCACTCTGTAATTAAACAAAAAGATATTCAAGTATAATATTATTCTTTATACTTTAATTAATTAATTTAAATATAATAAAATAAAATAAAAATATGTAAAAAAAAATATTTTTATTAAATTATTTAATTATTTACCACATTTGGATGAGTAAAATTTATAGCATCTAGCCAATCTTGCAATGCAGTGAGACAAAATGATAAAACTCTACGAGTAAGAACTGCACTTTCTGGACCACGTAAATGAGAAACTAGAGCCCACATTGGATATGCACTAGCTTCTAATTCTGCACTAAATGCTGCATAGTATGTATTAGATTCATATTCAACATGTTGATTTACTTCTCGTTGATTTACATTCATTCCTGAATTAAATATAATAAAAATAATTTTAAAAATACTTTACAATATATAATAATAATATATAATATTCTGTTATATTCGATATATATATTGAATATATTGGATAAAAATAAAATAATACCTTGAAACATAGATAGGAAATCAAACCACATTTCTAAAAGTGTGTCATCACTCATAAATCTGACAGCTATAGGTTTGTGTGAAAGAACGTTGTTTAAATCTGATACAATAGGCCAATAGCAATGTTCCTTCATCACTTGACGTTCACAATCTACTACATAATGAAAATTTTTGTCTGGATCTAGAAAGAAAAAATATCTAGAATATTTAATTTCAATAAACATATTTTAATAATAACAATATTTATTAATAATATATATTTCTAAATATTATATTTTATAAAAAATTCCATAAAATATATTCTAAAATTAATAATAATATTTATAATATAAACATTATATACTTACCATGTAAAGTATTTTGAATCAATATTTTACTCATCATATATTTTAAAGCTATCACCATAACATGCAACAACTTTAATTGATCTACCATTTTCAATGCTAAACTTTCATTACTGAATAACTGAAACATGAAATACAAGCATTTAAAATATTTCATTTATAGTAAATATAATATTTTTATTACAATATTTACCTGTACACTGACATGAACTACTCTATTGCTCAAAGTATCAGGATCTGTTGAACGTTCAAGCATCATTGAAACTCTACTGTAATGTAAAACAAATGCTCGAGTGAGTGCTTCTTTATATTCTGGATCTGGTAACATATTTAATAGCAAACAGACTAATTTCTGTGGAAATTGATAAGCCACTGTCCAAAACATTAATTCTTCTAAAAAAGTGGTATGTTGTAAATGTTCTTGTAATGATGCACATTCTAAAAAAATATAATAAAGTATTTATTATATATTATATTTATTAATATAATAAATATTCTTTCATAATTATATATATGCATTAATAAAAAAAGATTTGCCTTTATATTCATCAGGTGGTTCTGGATTTGGTAATGATCTTACTGCATTTTGATATATTTCATTACTATCTTGACAATAACTATCATATTCTGGTTCTCCAGTTGATACAGTAGGATCCATAAGATTCCTATATTTTTGTAGATTAGTTAAAGCTGATGTCATAACATGCCTCATTAATGCACCCATTTTATTAAAATCAATGAGCATTGTTAAATATTCATCTGCATCTTGTATTGCAGCTTCATAATTTCGTCGACCCACCGTACTGCAATGAAATAAAATATTTAAAATATATATATATTGAAAAATAATTAAAAAATTAAAAAATATATATATTGAAAAATAATTAAAAAATATAA